AACAGTCTACCTCCCCTTACCAATCCCTCCTGGCCCAGCTCTGAATCTTAACCTATCAACCCAAGAACCAGTCCATCCTAAACCCTCAGAGGGAGGGACGTGGACCTTGGAGACCTCGGCAAAAAAGACAAAGTCCTTAGTGACAAGGCTCTGAAGCTTCTGGAGATCTGCCAGCAAGAAAGAGGAAGTGGTGTCTGCTGGGGGCTCTGTCCTGATCTACCCTGGTGGCAGGCCACTGAGTTGCCATGGCAACATCACAGACCTGGAGCTTGAGATGTGGGCCCCGCTTCCTCCATCCATACCCACAATTCCCTCAAGAGCAGGCACTCATCCCTCAGGCTTTCCTGAATCCCCTGTCTGTAAATAACAACCACAGCTTGCGGTAAAGAATATGATGTGATATATTGCTGTAGCACTAGGGCACTGATGTGTCACATTCCTGACACCTCTGTCCCTGGGGTAGAAGCCCACCTGCCCTCATTGCCCCATGCCAGCCAGCTTGCTTCAACCCTACATAATCTCCTTTCCCAGAGCTCCCAACCATCTTCTCAGTAACCTTCCAGAAAATGTCACTTCCGTCCTCCCTCCCCATCCCACCGGCAAAGGATTTCCCTGGTCTCTTTCTCACACTTTCATTTTTTCAAAAAGTTGATGTTTAACTTACACACAGTAAGACACACAGATCTTAAGTGCACAGTTGGATGAGTTTCATAACCATGCAAACCTCTGTGGTTCATACCCCTGTCAAGACTGGATGCTTCCTCTTTCTTTCTCCCCCCGCCCTATGTTATTTTTGAGTCAACTGATAAGGACAAAGAAGGAACACTAGGAGGAAGACAGAATGCTGGAGCCTGCATCCAGGAACAGGAGGGCAGGGAAAGCCCAACCTGGCCAGAAAGTGGCATTTCTCCCCTTCAACCCTGAAGGCCAGTGTCTTTCTACCCCAGGAAGGAAGCAAGCACACTCTGCCCAGAGTGAAGACCACCGATGGAGAAGATCCACAAGGGTCACAGCAGAGGCTGGTGAAGTCCTGTCTCCCATGGGTGGGCCATTGGCCCATAGGTTCCTGTTACAACATGAATGGCATTTTCATTTCCCCTGAAGCCACTAGGAAAGGAAATTTGTCTTCTCTCTTTACAGATGAGGTCGAGGAAACTTCTGTGGCCTGTATCCCCCTCCTTCCTTCCTTTGGAAGGGCAGTGAAAGTCGCCAAAGGGCAGCTCCTGCAGAAGCCACTCTCCAGGCTGCGTCCTGGCCACAAAGGCCATGAAGTAACTCCCAGGTGCCTGCTTTACTGGAAGCCCGCCGGGATGACTCCTCCCTGAGGGTACCCCAGGGTCACCAGCAAGTTTTCTGGTCACCTTCTTGGTCCTCCCACCTTCTCTGTCTGGATCCCCATCTCAGTGTGGGCTCCAGAAGCTTGGTCTGTGATGCTTTGCTGATGTCTGGCATACACTGCGTGCTCAATGTTTGTTGGATGAAGAATGTAATGAAGCCTAGCAACCAAATGAATAAACTTTTTTTCCATTCTGGCTACGCCTTGTCCTGTGTTTAAGGCGCTGAGCAAGGGCGGTTTCCCTGAGCCAATGACAAGGTGGGCCACAGCACATCTTTCAGCACCCAGAACGGAGACAAAGTAAAGGACCATGCAGAGGTGGTGGGAAAGCAAGATGGGCTGGATTCTGAACAACCACTTTGTCCTTCAGGATGAATTCACACATAGCAATGGGGCTAGAGTTTAAAGAAGCAAAGCCAGGAACACCAAGATCAAAGAGCAGAATCCAAGCAGCCCACTAGGGGAAGAGGGCCCAGAACAAACAGGAGGCAGCAGGGGGCACAGGAGCTCAGGCTGAAGCAAGAGCCACACGGCAAGACACCTCTGAAGATGACTGCTAATGTGAGGCTTCCTCCTGTCCACTGTTGTCCAGAGTCCAACATCTGCCATGCCTTCCACAGTACCCTGAGCCTTGGTAATGGGCTTATTCACTTATAAAATTTTTTCAGAATGTCAAAGCAGACCTTCATCCCTCCCAAACTGGTCAGCACTCGGGGTTATGTTAAAGCATCACACCCCATGGCAGGACAGCTCAGTGGTTATACACAAAGTTCTACTGGCAGACTGCCTGGCTTCCTATCCTAGCTCTGCCACTAGTGACATGGGGCTGGTCATATAATCTTCCTGAGTCTCATTTTCCTCTTCTGTAAAATGGAAACTAATAATAGTACCTACTTCAGCAAGTTACTGCGAAGAGGCAAAAAGTTAATATAAACAGAGAACCAAACACACGCCTGAAAACACGGCTCCCGCTACATAAATATTTGCCAGTGTAGTTTGAAATAGGATGGAAATAAAGTTATTGGAAAGATGTTTCCAACATGAATTAAACAGGATGAGCTAAGCAATGGCCTTGTTACAAGGAAGGAATGTTATGGAAATTACCAAGCAAAGGAAGGCACTGTTCCACCCAAGCGCACACTTGTTCTGAGTGGCCCACCGATGGCTCTCCATCCTGTGTGTGTGTCTGGCGTGGGAGATGAAAGAGCCGCACTGGTCCTTCCAGGTACACAGGCAAAGAGAAGCTGCCATAGGTAAAGTCACCTGCACAGAGCCCTCCGTGAGGAGAGTGGCTCAGCGCTCTCTGGCTGCATGAAGATTCAATGTTTCTGTCTAGGTAAGAAAGGGGCTGACAGCAGTCACCCTGCCCCACTGGGAGGTTTAGAAGCCCCCACTCTGTTAAGCTCTGTGTGGAAGGAGGACCTTCTATTCTGATGACTGCTGCTCTCCAGCAGTGCAGGAGAAAACTACAGAATTCTGACCCCAGGGTCCTTCAGAGTCTCTTTCTCCTACAAACCACTAGAAGTCACAGGAAGCAGAGTATCTTTCTCAATGTAGACTGAAGCAGCTGCTGCAACAGCTCTCAGAATAAACACAGATGTGGGCCACTGTCAAAGGCCAGGATTCGGCGTTCAGGTTTAAGGCTCAGCTGCGCTTCTTGTCTAACTGTGTGACCTCAGACACAACGCTTTCACTCCTTGGCTTCCTCAACTCAGAGTGGGAAGAAGAGACCAATGTCTCCTCCATCTCCACTGCACGTTGGTGTGGCCTGGGTAGGAAGGGCCATCTCCACAAGCCCAGCCTTGTCAGCAGTGGTTATTTTTCCAACAGGTTGCAAGATCCTGTATGTAAGATCCACCCTTTCCATGGCTGCCTTCTTTTTTTCCTTTTCATTTTGAACAAACATGTATTTCACGCATTGAGTTGGGCCTGTGCTTTGTGCCAGCAAAATCCATGGCTGTTTGCGCTGACCAAAGTCACAAGCAAGGCCTTTGCAGGAGCCAGAGGGCCTGCCCATGGCAGACCATTACTCCCCATGTCAGCACCTCACCCTGAGCCTGCAGCCTCTGCCTGGGTCTGCGCAGCCTCTTGCTGCTCTCCCTCTCCCACCTTGCCCCAGCCTAGCAGCACAACAGCAATAGGACCTGTGAAAAGGACAGTCCGATGTGCTACTGACCGGCACCAGCCCTTCACACCGATCCCATCCCAGGGCAAAAGCCACACGCCTCCCAATGGCCTACAGAGCCCTCGTCCACAATTCTCAACCTGGGCCGCACACGGGACCCACCCAGAGCCATGCACAACAGCGGCCTGGAAGCCACCCTGGAAACTCTCATGCAATTGACCTGGGGTACAGCACTGGCATTAGGGTTGTTTAGAAAGATATTTTGATGAGTAGAACATGCAGCTAAATTGAGAACCATGCTCCCATTTGACCTGCCTACATGGCTCCCCACCCTCATCTCCAACTACTGCCACCTGTTCCAGCCACTGGAGCCTCCTTCCTCTTCCTCAGACGTGCCAAGCATGCTGGTGCCTCAGGAGAGGGCTTGCCAGTCCCTCTGCCTGGACAGATTTTCCCTGCATATCTGCATCCCTTGTTTCTTCATCTTCTCCAGGTCTCTTCTCAAATGTCACCTTTACCGAGGTGACAGAGGCCTTTTATGACAACCCATAAATATGTGCAATTCATCCACTCCTCCCCCGGAGGTCTCTGTCTGCCTCTCCCATTTTATACAGCTCTATCACTTACTACCATTTGACAAGCTTTGTTCACTGTCTCTTCCCACCCAACTAGAATGCAAGCTCTGTGAAGGCAGGGATTCCTGTCTGTTTTGCTCCCTGCCCTGCTCTTGTCTCTCAATGACTCTAGCACATCATTAGAATGTAATGGTCTTTATGTGAGTATGCACTCACTCCTTTCCCTTTGTACAATCCCAGCTCTTTCATCCTTGCAGCCCAGCCAGGTTCTTCTTGGGCTAGGAACAACTATACTCAATTATATAGCATACAGCAGTTATTTCATAAATGTTTATGGAATCAAAGTGAACTCCAGAAGAACACAGCTTACAGAGTCAGCTGCAAGATCTCACCCCAAAACTCCAGACAGAAGCTCAATATACAGCTTTAAGGAAGTTCTTAAAATAAGGAGAAAAAGGGGAAAAGAAGGTGTGGGGAGCTCACAAAAATTAATGAGATTTTCTCAGCTGTGGTACGTGCCCACATTTTTAATAATTAGGAGCAATAAAAATTCTAACTGAACCTTAAAGGAACATCCTTGTGTAACAAAGAGAGAAGTCAAGACAGACTTCTCTGTCGGGTGTAATGACTTGTTAGCCTGGAAGATGGATGTACTTTAAGAAACTAATTTACAGAAAAAAATTGTTCATAAAAATGAACTAATTGGGTTAAAATGATATATTAAAGGGAATGCTAGATGATTCTAGTACCCTTAAGGAGTAAATTAAGTAATTAATCCTTAAAATCTCTAATGGAAGGGAGCCCTCCGTCTACTCAGCAGACAGGGAAACTGAGTCTAGACCACAGACTCTGGCTGAAGCAGGAAAGGGACCCCAAATCCAGCACCTGATCTTGATCCCCCACATGACAAGGACCAGTCTCCCCACACACATGTCCTCCAGGGCCGCTCACTGACTCTGCTCACCCACTGGGTCTGAGGTCTGGCAGGGGCCGGTCGAGGGGCAGGCGGTCACTGAGGTAGGCGTTGTAGCCATAGTACTGGAACTGCTTCAGGGCCACACGCCGGCCTTCAGGGCTGAGCTCCTGGCCCCAGTGCGCAAACAGTGAGGAGTCTGTGAAGGGTTCAGCCTCCGCCTCCTCAGGCTTGGCAGGAGCCTCTGTAGAAAGAAGGCACAAGGGCACAGCGGTCAGAGTGTAGCCCTGCATATGCCGAAAAAACCCCTTTCCCTCCTCCACAACAGTCTCTCAGGTAAATCAGTTTGGCCCCTTCATTGGCAAGTAGAGGAGGGTGGAATTTTCATGTTTCCTAAAGATTCATTCATCCATGAATCTATCCATTCATCCATCCAACAGCCACTAGACACAAGGGATACAGAAAAACACCTGGCAGGGTCTGCCAAGAAGCTGATGGATGTGAGCCGGATGTCCCCTTACTTCAAGGCAGAGCCTCCTCCTTCCCTGTCTGTCTTCCTGCCAGAGAAATTGGCCCCATCCTTGAACTGGGCTGAAGCTTCCCTTTGCCCAGCCTGCACTCCATTCTCTGCTAGTCCCGAGCTGGCCCCACACTCAGGCTCTGTAGCTGGGGTCTCCTCTGCCCAGTTCTGGCTGGCCCATCTTCCTCTCCGAGTCAGGTCTGACTGAGAGCTACCTGGCACCACCATGTGGCAGGCACACACTGCGTCCTGCTGCTCCTGACTCTGCCCACTGGGATCAGGACACAGGCAACAGCCAGGCCATCCCCCATCTGCAATGCATGCCAGGCACTGCCTCTTGGACCTGGAGGTAGCCCCATCCCAGGTCAAGGATAGCTCACACTTTTCCAGGAACAACCAATGAACATAGAGAGGGTATTGGATGGAAGAGTAGAGACTTTGGATTAATGCAGTCATGAATTCAAAATCCTGCTCCCCACTCACTGGCTAGGTGACCACAGCAAATACTCTATCTCCCTAAGCTGAAGTTTCCCTACCTGTAATTAGGGGTTATAATCTATTCCCAACCCCATCCCTGAGATCTGTGAGGACTGCATCAAATAATGTACATAAAGCACTTAAATCAGCATATATCTCAGAATGAGTGTACAATCAATGGTAATCAGGGTTACATCAAGGGAGGTCATTTAAATCTCTCTTTTATATAAAGGGTAATATGTAAATCTTGCTGGACTTAGCTGATAGGCTGAGACTTCTGAATTCATTACCAAGAAAATCATTAAAGAGAAACTGGACAGAGAAGTTTAGCCCACTGGACAGCACCATCCATGCTTATAATTACAAGAGGTACGTTAGGGCTGGAGCCAGGGATCTGAATGAGACGGAGACCCAAGAAAGTAGAAGTAGGTCAGAATCAAGAGAGGTGGGTATGGGGCATCTCCCCATGTCTGCTTAGTTGTTGCATGGGGCCCAAGGGTGCACGCATGACACACTTAAAGATAGAGGCTAGATACAGGCAAGTGGACAGGGTTCCAGGTCTTCAAGATCAAGGCATTCAAAGCTATAGACTTCCACATCCTTGTGGGCTACTGAAGAGCCCATCTGGAAAGAGGAGGAGACCTGGAGACAAAAGGTTCGGGAATCTGACTACTTGCACTTCCCATGAGCCTGGTTCTCTTTCAAGCATCCCCACTTAATAACTCATCTCACTCAGATTATGTCCATTTCACAGATAAAGCAAATGAGGCACAGAGAGGACAAGAAGCTTGTTCAATTCTGGGCAGCCCCTCGCCCCAGTTCCTATCACCGAGCTTTACTGCCTCTATGTGACAGCAGGCTGGTATGTGAATAATTCAAAAGACAAACATGGGATATTAAGTGGGTTACCAATCTTCCTTAAAGACATAAAAGGAAGCACAGACACATCAAACAGATTAAGATCTATAGAGGAATAAAACGCAACATATGCGCAAATTCCTAAGACAAAGCAGGGTTCTCAGGCATGTGGAATCCTGCTCACCACTCAGTGCCAGAACCGGGGTACAGGTGCTCATTCTTCTCCCCTTTGAGGCAGGCTTGAAAGGATGTGCAGACGTGCATGATCTTGAAGGTCCTTGTTATCTCTAAAAAGATGTATGACTCATTCGTTTGGAATGGGGGGATAGTAAAGTCTAAATCAGTGAACCAACTGAATCATATAATATTTAAAAGAAATGTAGTTTTATTGCTCTCAAATGCCTAAATGGATATTACCAAGTAAAATGAGATCAGTTAATGAAAAAATTATGATTCACAATTAGGCCTGTACTGCATAATAATGTATTACAAACATATTGAAGTCCTGAGTTACAGCATCACATGTCCCTAGCATTTTATTCCATATGGGTGCAAATGACAACTTGAAAGCACTGGGTTCTCAATGATGAATTAAGGGCAACTGCAGTGGGAAGGACGGAATATTTGTTGCATATTTGCTAAGAGCTAAGTACTGTGCTAGGTGGTGTCAGGTTTCTTTATCTCTGTTTGTGTTCATCAGCATGGACTCCGTGAGGGCAGGACCATATCTGTCTTAGTCCTGCTGTATCCTTGGTTATTCTAGCACAGTATGTGGCTCTGATGAGGGACTTGATACACCATTTTAAAATAAAGGAGTTAATAATGAACTCATGGTAATTAGTTATTATACATGAGGCAATGAAAGATAAAAGGGTTCAATGACAAGTCTGAGGTCACCACATTCATTGAAGACATTGAACAAATGTCTGGCTTCCTCCAATCCTCTGCATGGCATGACACACTATTCTGCATGGCCCAACCCATATTTTTGAAAATAAAGCTTTATTGAAACATAGACCCATCCACTTGCTAATATCATCTACAGCTGCTTTAGAGCTATAACGACAAGGCTGAGTAGGCAGGACAGACCATGGGATCCACAAAACTGCTGCCTGGTCCTTTGAGAGACAGTTTGTTAGCCCTGCTCTATATACTACGGTTGATTCATTAGGTGAAGAGAATTCGCTCTGCTAACTCCATTCATTTTCTTCTTTCTGTCCAGAGTTGGCTGTCAGTTCAGGATCCTGGGGTCTATATTCCAGCTCTATCACTTACTGGTTTACTCTGCCTTATCCCAAGCTCCAGTTTCCTCCTCTGGAAATGGGTTGGTAATGATATTAACGGTAACTCCCTCACAGAACATTTGTGAGTATGGAGATGGCTATGTGTGGAGCTGAGCATATAGTAAGCTCTTTATAAATGCTAGCAGCTAATGACCCAAGAATCTCACGGCCCCTTTTCCTCCACTTGAGATGGGGAAGATGACCTGCCCTGAGGTCCTCAGCTCTGAAAGACACAATGGTATCCAGGCCCCCAGATTACAAAGCTCCATGTCCGTATACAACCAGCCTCCCTTTAACCAGTCCCTGACTCAGTTTCCTTCTGCAGTAAGAAAGGAGACCTACGTGGCTGTCCAGCAAGGGGACTGTCTTTGACACAGTGGTGGGCAGGCCAAGAGGACTCACAGAAGTGCCTGTGCTGGGTGCTCTGTGGGACCCAGGGTGTCTGGACATATTTGGTGAATGGCAGACCCTTGAGCATCTCACCCAGAGACAAGACTGCTCCTAGGAGTGGACTCTGGCTGAGGCCCCTGCTGGACTCCAGCTGAGTCCCCTCCTTCATTTAAGGAGAGAATGAGTAGGCCACAGTGGCCTCAGGAGAAGTAAAGCTAGGGCACTGGAGGAGAGAATTTGGGGGAACCCACCCCAGCCTTCCCAGGCCAGCACTTGTCCGGCTCCCAGAGAGATACAGGGTGAGAGGAAAAGGGGTGCTTCGCCAGAGAGCCACACACCAGGCCCAAGTGGCCTGTGTGTGACACAAAGGCAGGAGGCATCCCTCTATCTCCCCAGGGAGGATGTGGCCTACAGGTCTGGGAGGGAGTCAACCTGCTCCTCACACTCTTGTTCGGGAGCCAGCAGTAGCCTTCTACTTCCCTCCTGTAAAGACAAAGTCCCTTCAACACCTCAGGCTTACCCACAAATGCTGCTGGCTTTCTGTTCTCCTATAAGGTCTTTCCTAAACATTCAGTCCCCTCCCAGTATTCCCCTTGCATATATATGTGTGTATTTTTTGTCATTTTTCTTGCTTGTTATGTGTCCTTCCCAACTAGAATATGAGCTCTGTGAAGTGGGGAATTTACTTTGCTCTCTGCCAAATCCCAAGTTCACAGGGGTGATTGGTAAGTGCTTAACCAGTATCAGTAAAATGAACAGTGAGTGGGAGTCAGGAAGAACCTGCCTGCTAGGGGGACTCTTCCAAGGGGGCCAGAGGGGACTGAAGCCTGGGACAGCAGGTAGAACGTGAGGCCAGTGAAGTGTGACTGAGCAGATTCAGATACATACAGTTAATTTTGTTTGCAGTTCACTCAAGCAAGCGATTGCATGTTGTTATACAGACTTGGTGCCTCTCAGCTGGTTCTATGGACTCAGATTCCCGGAGGACAAGGAGGTCCCACTTGCCCAGGGCTCCTTGGTAAACCTCTTGTATCAGATAATTTCCTGGCACTTCTCCCAAGAATCTAGTATAGGACAGTTCACAGAGTGGTCACCCCACAATAGAAGCAGAAGGGAGAGAAGGAGGGAAGGGGAAGGGTGGTGTCCCTCTCTTCCTACCCTCACCCAGAAGGGCTCAGAATCAGAGGCCACTGAAGGCTCTAAACATCCCTCCTCCCAGAAACGAGGGCAGCAACATGAGAAGATCAGCATCTCCACAAAACCGACCTTGGATGCCTTCGAGGAGTTTCCAGCCCAAACCACACAGCCTCAGAGGGCCAGGGAGGCCGGCCAGGTGTCCCCTTCCCTCCAGAGCCCTGGTCCTCAGATGTTCCCACAGCTTTGGCAGACATGCCGACGCTTGTCCATGCTTCTGAGTCTCCTCGGTCTCCAAGGTCCTTTGCTTGTTACAGAACCCCCATGGGCAAACTCCCAGAGGAGGGCTCCCCTTTGAGGAAACTAGTCACACTGTGAAGGGAGAAGGTGCAGTTGATGGATCTGTGCTAAGCAGGACATTTCCGACGTCAGTGGGAAAAGAGTCTGATTGGCTTCCCACCCTTGTCATTTCTCAGGGAAACTCTCCCTGGGGAACCCAGGGACCTGTCATTCCTACTCATCCCCAGGGTACCCTTCCAGGCCAGCATGCAGAGCTGTAGCTTGGTCAGCTTATCCAGAGGA